GCTATGGAATATTCCTTATAAGAGTAAATAAATGCACTGTAAATGGCACTCGGGGCTGTAGTGACATCAACAGCCTCAAGAATTGATGCAAAACTCAGAGAGTGTGTGTCCTGAGCCCTCGGAGCCCTCATATGCTCACTGAATTGAGGAGTACGGTAAAGATGTGTCTGTGGTAGAGACGTCCATGTCATGATGATCATCACAAATATGGTGGTACTGACTGACCCCCAATGTGCTCCCTTCTATTGCCAGCCTCACCATTGTCCCATGGACTGGGAGGGCTGTAAATACCAGCTTCTCCACAGAGGGAATCCTTAGGGGAGTTTTTACTCTGACATATTTTGATCTTTGCCCCTTCCCCTCCTGCAACTCTAAAGACTGTTTCCATGTCCATTTTGAATATTGCTTCTAAGATACTATTAGCTTTTGTGAAGAACAGCTTGTGTCTCCCTGTTAAAGCCCCTCTCTGCCCAAGGCAGGGTATGCACCAGAATTAATAAGTGGCTTTGCATAAGTGACTGGACAAAAACAGTCACTGAAAAGAGAGTCTGGAGTTTCAAGGACTTCGGTAACTGTGTATCTGGTTCAGAGTTGTGCCAGGTGCCTTAGACTGAAAGGACTCCCAGTGCCCGGTGTCAATAGCAAGCTCTCCTGAAATTACCAGTGAGCTTCTTAGAGAAAAAGAAGTCATTTGCTCGTATCTGGACCATAAACTGAATGTACTCAGAGCTCAAGGGTAATGTTGCTGATGAGCTACAAATAGAAAATAACTGAGAAGAGAGTTTGTCTTTTTTGAACTGAGTTGCATATTCTGCATGCTGAGATGTGCAGAAGTGCTGATGAGCTAGTAGACGTTGGAAAATATCCATCTGGGCCAGAATCAACTATGCATGTAATCTGGCCAAGGGAGGAGAAGATTTAGGTGAGGAAATTAAACTCCAGGCCTTCCTTTTCTTTTGAAAAAAAGAAATCCTTTTTTTCCTAGTATTTCTGAGGGTAGCTCATTTTTTAACTATTTGAGTAGACATCCATCACAGGTGGCTTTCCCTGAGTTGGTTTATATGGGATCAAAGAGAAACCACAAGGCAGGAATACTGCAGCTGAGCAAAAACTTCAGAGCAAATTAATTCAGCAATTTTGCCCCTTCACAAAATAGATAGTCATTTTTTTAATTTGGTTAAATGTTTTGGTGAGGCCTGGATCCAGCCTTTGCTTTGCTCTCTGGACCAAGATGACCTTGGTCGCTCAGCAAGTCATTGCATTTCCATGTTCTGCAGAAGAAACTGGATGGGTGGATCATTTCCCCTGCCTATCAGTGGCAAAGCATCTCTGCAAGTGTGTGGCTGAGCAAATCTCACCTCTTAGGACAAGAGTTGTGGGTATGCAGGCTGCAAACGTGAGGCCAGGCAGACCTCAAGTGCAAAGGCATGAAAGGCAGGTAGCAGTCCTTTCCTCTGCCTTTCCTTTGTCACTACCTCAGAACATGGCCATTCAACCCAACACCCTGCACCTTCAGAAACTGAGAAGGAAATTAATTCCAGGTCTCCCACTTTTGGGGCAAAAATTGTAAGCCTTCAGTGCAATGCAAGTGCTGGGCTTTACCTCCTCTGGTTGTCTTCTTGGAGCAGAGGGCTGTGACTGCAACAGGTGGCATTCAGCACTTATGTCAGGCTCCCTCAGATGTGACCACTGGGTGAGGCTTCTGGGGCATGGGGCTTTCACCCCAATTTGGGAGACAGAGTATTGTGTTAGGCTATAGCAAGCTACACGCTTGCCTCAGGCAACCAATGTATAGCTCTTTTCATAATGTAATTCCAGGTTGGTGTTGGCACCTTTAACATTATCCCATCCTAAAGAGAGAGATTTTTAAATACCTTTCAGCTGCCTGAATATGGCCAGGACACAGGACTTGGAGAGTTGCTTTCCTGGTGTTTCATGCCAGACAAAGACTGGCCATGAGGTCATGTTTGTCACAGTCACTTTGACGTCTGCCTTCTAGAACATGATCCATAGTATTTAATTGTGGTTTGAAATGGAGTCATCCTGGTAGGCTTAATTTGGGTAAAATACCAAGAAAGAGAATATTGCTTGCACTTTAAAAAAAAATAAAAAAGCAAATGCTTCATTCTGAAGCCATCCTTAACAGCAGCTGAGTTGCTGACTTCTTGTACTGAGAGAGCACTTATGCTGTTCAGAAGACTGCTCTTCTGGCAGAGCAACTACATTTTAGCAGCTTGCCAAACGAGAATGTGATAGGAGGATAATATTTTACTCCTACCCTCAGCTACTCTTTACAGTAATGAGATGGTGATTAAGAGTCCGTTTCTTCACCAGCAAGGCTCACAGTAAGTAGCATCCTTTCCTTGCACATGCACTAGGTAGCTGCATTTAGATCTATGATCCAGCTGCTTGGAGTCATCTCAGAAGGTTTCTTGTCCTCCTCTGGCCTCTTCATTTCCTTGTCTAGGCAACTCCCTCTCCTGAAAATAAGAGCCAGCAGCCCATCTGCCAAGACCAGTCCTAAATTCCCCACAGCCAGGACTCCCAACTTTTCTTTCTTCTCTGAGTATCTACCAATTTAACCTTCAGGAGCACATGATGTTACTAAACCAACCGTTCTTTATGAAAGCAAAGAAATGTATAAGACAGTAGTATTCAGCCCTCTTTCCCTGTTTCCTCCAGGTGTTTTGGTGGATTTAAGTCAGTCTTCTCTGCAAAATATAGAATACTTTTTTTTCCCCAAAAAACTAGTTTTCAAGACTCTGATTTTCCCTCTAAAATGGCTGGGGGAAGCCCCTTTCTTTTACACATGTTCAGTCATTTCCCCTTCTCCCACTTTCAGATGAAACTTCCTGGTCTACTGCAATGCCAGGGCATTGCAAGTACTTCATGAGATACTTTACTATTTTGGTTAATACCTAGCTAGAATCTGAATTTGAAGGCGGGGGGGGGGGGGGGAATAACTTGTGAAATAACCTGTTCTTGATTCAAGGGTACCTCCATTTTACAGGGCAATTAATATGTAAGAACAACATATGTTCAGCCTCAGGCCTGCATCCCAGCATCTGGATTTCTCAGCTCCGTCTGGCATCTAATAAAAGAACAGAGCCTCATAAATTCAACTCAGAAAGCAAAATGGTTTTTATACATTTATGACAGCCATATAGAGATGTATTCATTCTGTTTGAGACCACAAATGTATAAATACAAAGGTCTCCCCAAGCAGCCATAACAAGCACTACTGTTTTGATTAAGAAATTGTGAGCATCTGCATAGGTTAAAAGAGAAAATGATACTGGATCTGGGAGGTTTCCTTTACAGTAGTAAGCTTTCAGACTTGCTAAGAATGATAAGCAAGTCTGATTGATACTGCCTACATGTGATACCAGTCCTGGAAGGATTTCTCTCTATCTGCAGCCTATGTAGTCCCACAGCTGTACATTACATTCTCAAGTGTATTGGGTTTACGTGGCAAGGTTTTGGTAGCAGTGGGGCTACAGGGGTGGCTTCTGTGAGAAGCTGCTAGAAGCTTCCCCCAGTGGTACCAATGCCAGCCACCTCCAAGATGGACCCGCCACTGGCCAAGGCCAAGCCTATCAGCAGTAGCGTCTCTGGGATAATGTATTTAAGAAAGGAAAAAAGTTGCTGCACAACAGCAACTGCAGCCAAGAGAGGAGTGAGAACATGTGAGAGAAACAGCCCTGCAGACCCCCAGGTCAGTGCAGAAGGAGGGGAGGAGATGCTCCAGGCGCCGGAGCAGAGATTCCCCTGCAGCCCGTGGGGAAGACCGTGGTGAGGCAGGCTGTTCCCCTGCAGCCCAGGATGGTCCACGGTGGAGCAGATCTCCACCTGCAGCCCGTGGAGGACCCCACGCCAGAGCAGGTGGGTGCCCGAAGGAGGCTGTGACCCCGTGGGAGCCCCACGCTGGAGCAGGCTCCTGGCAGGACCTGTGGCCCCGTGGAGAGAAGAGCCCACGCTGGAGCAGGTTTTCTGGCAGGACTTGTGACCCCGTGGAGGACCCACGCTGGAGCAGTGTGTGCCTGAAGGACTGCAGTCCGTGGAAGGGACCCACGCTGGAGCAGTTTGTGAAGAACTGCAGCCTGTGGGAAGGACCCACATTGGAGAAGTTCATGGAGGACTGTCTCCTGTGGGAGGGACCCCACGCTGGAGCAGGGGAAGAGTGAGGAGTCCTGCCCCTGAGGAGGAAGGAGCGGCAGAGACAACGTGTGATGAACTGACCACAACCCCCATTCCCCATCCCCCTGCGCCACTGGTGGGGAGGATGTAGAGAAAATCGGGAGGCAAGCTGTGCCTGGGAAGAAGGGAGGGGTGGAGGGAAGGTGTTTTGATATTTGGGGTTATTTCTCATTACCCTACTCTGGTTGATTGGCAATAAATTAAGTTAATTTTCCCCAAGTTGAGTCTATTTTGCCCATGACGGTAATTGGTTGAGTGATCTCTCCCTGTCCTTATCTCGATCCACGAGCCCTTTGTTATATTTTCTCTCCCTTGTCCAGCTGAGAGTGGGGCAGCGATAGAACGGCTTTGGTGGGCACCTGGCACCCAGCCAAGGTCAACCCAGCACATCAAGAAAGAGGCGCATGTGCCAAAGCACATACAGGATCAAGGCCTACAGCACTTCAATAATCCTGTGCTGTTTCTTACACATATTTCTGTTGCTTGAGATGCTCACTATGTTGTTTTCTTTCTGGAATGAAAAGTGCCAGTGTGTTTTTTTTTGTTACCCTCATTCCCTCCTTTCCCTGCTCCAGGCAGGAAAGCACTAGCAGCACTGCCTTATAGGTTGGCAGGAAATTTAAAACGGCAGCAAGCTGCTGCTCGGACCACCCCCAGACTTTTTTTTTTTCCCTTTGATGCAGAAGACTATTTAATTGGGGGCTGACTTGTCAAACTTGCTCACTGACGCTTACCGGTAGCTGCCTAACCACTAACGGTGATTTTTTTCCTCCCTTCCTCCTCCTTTGGACAAGCTCCCCACAATGAAGATGCTGCTGAGCCTGATTGCTCTGCTGTCTGCTGCCCTGTTAGTCAATGCAGCCCCTCCAACTTGCTACTCGAGAGTGTTGTCTCTGAGCAAAGAAATCACGGAATCCTTTAAGGAGTTACAGACGTCCAAAGCTGTGGTGAGTCTACTTGAAAACTGCTCCTGCAAAGATGCTGCAGGTTGCTTGCTTATGACACAAGTTTCCCTCCAAACAAAACTGCAACCGGTCTTTCTTCTTTTCTGCAGGACTCATGTGTGGAGATGCTGCCCAGGCTGTACTTGGACATACATGTAAGTTTTCACACTTCTTTCTTACCACTGTGTAGTAAAAGCAGTTAATGAAAAGAGAATAACTCTTAAGACTGTACCTCAGAAGAGTGGTTCGAAATTAATTTTTAAAAGCTTAATTGATGAGAGATGAGTGACCCCAAAAAAATCTCATTTTGAACCGTATTAAAATCCCTATGGAGCTTCTGAAATTTTACTTGTTTAAAAATTCAGAAATGAGGAAATCAATATTTTGAAGTGATTACCATTAGTACCTTATTAATTTATTGTGACAGAACCTTTTCAGAAGTTAAATATGTGCAACAAAACTCTGAATAACAATTTAAAAAAAGAAATGCAGAATAAACTTTCTTCACTTAATAAATCTACTTAATTTTATATCATGAGTGACTTCTGGCACTGCAGTTTTAATAAGAAGTGCAGGAATACCTGGCTTTTCCTGTTTTAAATAGCCACTCATTGAATCCAGAAAGAAAAAGTATGCCTGAGGATATGGAAGTGTGATACTGAGAAAAGACAGCAGTAGTCATCTCCCAGCAAAGACAAAATAGTCTCCTGCACACATAGTTTACGTCAGTGTTCTACCCTGGGATATTAAACATATTTTGCTTCTTTTCCCAGTGCTTCACTGAGTAACTAAAAAGTAGAAAATACCAGACAAAGCAAGAGATGTCTGACACATTTTGCCAGAGGCAACTACACCATCAAGTCTTGCAAGTCAGGACCCTCTCCATTCCAATTCCAGAGTTGCCAGTACATCACTTCATTGCAAAGACCAAGCAACATGAGTCCAGTGCCTCAGTTTCCCTTGCGTTAAAGCAAGAGCTGGGATATTTATTTACCTGCTTCACAAGGATGCTGTGAAATTTATGTTGGCTGTGCTTTATTTTGATAACACAAAGTCTGAAGTAAAAATTACTCTGAAAAAATTTTGCCCGGTGCTCACAATATTGCCTATTGTACAGGAATAGAGGAATCACGTTTGTGAGATCTTGATAATCTTTTCACCAGCTAAATCAGGTGCTCTCTTAAAAGTGAGATAGGGCACCTATTCTGTAGTTAACTCCACCTACTACAGGAGCAGATTTGATTGTATTGGCGCTGCTGCCTCTGAAAGCATGTGAGAAATAAGCTGGCAGACCAAAACTGTGTCTATGCACTTTTCCAGGCACTTATTTGGACCAAACATCTTTGTTATGCAATATTGATGGTGAATTTTCCTAGCTAAAGGTTACATAGATTACACATACATAGAGGTAGGAATTCAAGGTTCCCACAGAGGCAGTAAGAATTTTGTAAGTGGTGGACGAGAAACATAAATCTGTGTTTGTGCAGAGTTACACATACCTCTTTTGCGTGCTTTGCAGAATTACTGTGTGTTGGCAAAACTCCGTGATTTCGTGGCCTACCCCAGATGTGAGAGAGTCCTTGAAGTGAGTGAGCTGAAGGAAAAAGCCCGGAGCCTGTACACCATCATGATCTCCTACTGCAGAAGGGTAGGTCAAGATGCACCAACAGGGACATAGTCTCTGCTTTTAGCCCTCTCTGTCTCCACCCTGTCCCCTGACCAGCAAAACTGGACCAGGGCCTGAGCTTCTCAACATTGTGCTATCTTCTGCCTTCCTCCTTATAAATGGTAGCCTTCTCTTTTGTTTCTCCAGGACTTGGCTTTCCTCACTGATGACTGTAATGCTCTGGAAAGTCCTGTTCTGCCTCCAATTGAGCCCTCCATCATTGAGAGCTAGAAGGGAGTCAACCCAAAAGCTGTACGTGGGAAATTTTCAAGGAGACAAAGAGTCAAAATACGTATACACGGTCAACTACAATGTTAACAACTAAGATCTTTTTCAAGCACACTAGCAATATTATCTCAGACCTACCCATTTTTCTCTGCCTTGGCAGGAAATGAACTGCATGCTTTGCATACCTACTGAGCTGCTAGGGAAACTATGGTTAGAGAGCATTTTTTCATTTGGCAAGGTATGATATTTCAGCTTAGCCAAATGTATAAGGTATGTTTTGTTTAAACATTAGATACTAGATTTTTTTTTACTCTTTTATGAATATCTAGATTCATATAAAGAAAATACATTATGATCAATATTATATCCTGACTTAGCAGTCCTTTTATTAGATGGGCATGGAAGGGACCACGGGTTTTTTTCTTAAAGTGTTTGATAGGAGAAGTGTAACTCTGTACTGGCAGATGTCTCTCTACTTGTATAGCTCATATATGTATGCTGATAGTTTTTGATGTCAGACTTGTAAGAATAGAGGTGAAAGTAACATGTCTCTGTGGCAAACTAAATAAAAACAGCCTTCTAACCCAAGATGTTTGTGTTATATCATGTCTTTCAAGATCAAACTGAAAAGTGTCATTCTTATAAACTTACTTTTCACAGTCACTTGCAAGTTGTTTTTCACAGCATAAGCCATCTTTAGCTTTGTTTCCATAGCAATGCAAAGTTTGCTGTGTCTGCATGACTTGACAATGTATAAGTTTCTACTGGGAGAATTTTTCTGTACTGCAAACAATTTCTTTGATGAAATTAGTGGATTTTTTTTAAATGCTGTTTCTGTGTTGTGAGGCAGCGGCTCAGAAAGCCTATAAATACAAAAAGTTTGGATAGATTGTTAAGACACAGCCCATATACTGAGCCACTGAGATTAATAACATTTCCAGGTAATAGTTCCAGAGTCATTGGTCCCTTCAGTATCTGCAGGACATGAGACCTTCACACCCAGCAGCTCTTTGGTGCCAAGAATAGAAAGGGTCTTCCCTGTATTCTTGGAAGTAGCTGCTATTATGCCAGAGAGTCCCTTCCCTCCCTCTGTGCAAGTGGTTCCTCTCTCTCCTGTATAGTATTTGCTGGTTGTTCATCTGCAGCACTGCCAACCCTGGTGACTTGGTCAGTGGTCTCACCATGTTTTATAAAAACCCCATCCTCTGTAATCATGGGATTATGTGACAATCGCAGCTCCTCTATCATCCTGTCATCCTAGTCAATATCTGATGGTATAAACCAAAATGATTGATAACTGTTATAGAAATAAGTGAATCATAACATTAATTCAAAGGAAAAAATGTGCAGGGGGAAAAAAAGGGGGGTTTCTTTATTTTGGAATTAGCCTGTCACGTAGAAACTACTAATCTGATTTCACTATCCCACTGAACCACAGAATAAGGGTGAGAAACTCTGAACCCAGGAAAGATACAGAAGGAAGAAAGTAAACAAGTGCTTTTCTTTCTGGTTTGTTTCAATTCTAAGTGTCCATTCAAGGAACGCGCCTGTCAGACTTTGTACTTCTCTCCTGAAGATGAGGTCCTCATGTGCTAACCCTACTAATCCTCTAGATGAGCCATTATGCTACAGACTGCTCACAGGGGTTCTACTCAGGCATCTCTGCAGGCATGTGGTAGAGACACTAGCAAGCTCAGTGATATCTGATCTAGTACCAGGCTGAACTCAAAAATGTGCAACAGCTCAGATAGTCCTACTATCAGAAAAATCATTGCTTAGTTTGCCTTCTAGGATTCTTCTCCTCTCCAAGCCAGCAACCTCTGTACAAGATTCTACACACTCTAGAGATACCCAAGGCCAACTCCTTCAGCAGCAACCATATCCTGGAATAAAGGCACCTATTAACATGCTGGCAGGGAGGCTGATACCCACATAGGGAGTGTGCAAGCTCTGGCAACTCCCTGGCTCAAGGAGAATGCGGGTCAAGTTGAACCATTTGTTTTCAGACTCTACGTTCAAGTTTTTCCTCCCTCTAACCAGAGGCTCAGCCACCACCTGGGGAAGCAAGCAGCGCTGGAATAACATCGAGGCCTACACACTTCCATACAAGTACCAAAACTACATCACAGCCTCTGTTTTTCATACCTTTATACAAAGACAGCCACGGACGTACCTTGCAAGAAAGCGTGGTATGGTCACCACAGGCCATGGTGTTTGCAGAGCTAACCCAGGGACAGGGCAGTACACGTGCTTGGAAGCTGGCAGCAGAAGCTGTTAGTTTTTGGCTGGTTTTTTCCACCTCCAGCTGACACATTTTTTAAACACGGTCCTGTTGTAAATCTTGTGTTGTGACTTGGCAAGCAAACAGCAGAGCAAGACGCGTTTCCTTATCCACGGAAGCCCACGCAACTCTGTCCCTAGATCTGGACCTTGGGTAAAGTCTGCGCAGGTAACGGTGGCACTTCTGCCCCTGCTTCTACCTGTCGCATGGACGCATGCTTTCTGAAATGGAGTATTTGATGAGGATTTTCTTATAGATCTTCTCATAACTCTTTATCCTGGTTTATTGAAGTAAATAAGACTTCTCTAGCATGTTTTGATGGAACACGTGATCCTAACTCCAGATTTCTCCTGTAATGTTCCATTCTTTCAACCACCTTCCAAATGTATTTTCTCCTGCTTTAGGCTGATTACATTTGCAAGGAAAATGTAGCCTAATTTCTTTAGGATAAAATATCTTGCAAGAAGTCTTTGGAACTGGAAACAGAGTAGAAATCATTATTTTATTTGCATTGCTTTAGTTAGTAACTTTAACCTTTTCATGACTGACAAGGGCACACTCTGTCTGCAATATACTCCTAGCAATATACTCTTATACTCTTAACAACAGCTCAGTTCTGTACTCTTATCCTACTTCTGCAGAAGCTGAGAAAAGCAACTAGGTGCATTGGGGTCTGTACATACTTGAATGGACTTTAAAAGCCTATCCTCCATTTGCAGATGCTGTATATTTTATTCCCAGGATCAGATTTGTCTGGTTGTTGGTGTCCTTTTAGACCAAGTGTATTCCCTATGGTTTATGCTGTGATTCTCTTCACATCTCATATGTCATTTTTAATGGAAAGTGTGCCGAAAGCAAAGCTATGCTTTTTCAGTTCATAGTAACCTGCTGTCACTCAGACTGTCATAATGAGATTTGTGATTAGATGAACGTTTTTTATGAACAGCATCTTTCTCCAGGTTGTCATGATCCAGGGGAAAAAACAGTGATAAAGAGTTCTAATCCACTTGTAATTTGCCAAGAAATCATCCACCTCTCCCTTTCAGTAAGACAGTAAGTTTACCAACTTTTTAATTTACCATTGTACCAGGTATATAAGGAGCAGTGGAGCCATTCATGCAGCTGAGAATTTATTCCTGCAACACAGCAGCTCATGCTCATTAGGGTCCCAGCCAACAGGGAGACCGTGAAGGGATTAAGGACATATTTGTTGTAATTCGTCAACTGGCATCTCGCCTAGTTATTGCAGAATATTACTAAAAGCACATCATTAAGGAACTGCACTCAGTTTCTACGATCATTAGGGAAGAACTGTAGAAAAACAAAGCATCTGTTCTGTTTTCTTGCCTGTTGAAGGAGGTCTGTTGGAATGAGCAGTCAATCCTAGAACTAGGTTTTCTTTTGCAGACTTCTCTCTATCTGCAAGAAGCCTCACTAAAGAGCAGTCCTAGGACTGCTAGACTCTCCCTCATATTATCACATAGAACCCCAAGGTAGTCAAAATGGTAGGTCTTGGGGACTGTCTCTGCAGTATTATTCAAAGAAAGACATTAATTTCCAATTTTGCCAAAAAAATATATGACAGATTTTACTAGAACCAGCTTCTTTCCTATCTCTTTTGTTCCAGTCTCAGTCACATAGGCTTTCCTTAAGCAGGCACTCTGGTCACTCCACTCCTCATACACAGTTTTTTGGTGAAACCAGGCTAGGGATGAGGGCTAGCAAATGTCTAATCCCTGGCCACTACCCCAAGTCAGGAAAGATGTCAGCTGTCGAACAGATAATTAGATCATTCAAGGTGAAGGGTTCCACTGGATAATATGTGACTTGCTACTAATTAACAGGATACAAATTAAATATGGTCTTATGAAATCCTTTTTTTTTTTTTATAAGCAAAGAAAAAACAATGCAGCACTGGGGAGGAATGTGATCTTTTAGGCTGTACACTTTAGAGCAGAGTGTTAGTTTGTCCAAACACCAGATTTAGGAGTGCCTATTTGTCCATTGCACCTTTCCCTATGTATGTGGCCTCTGTGGGTTGAGCTAATGGGATGCTGATGGAGATTTTCCAAAAATTTGCTACAATGTTAAGGTCTTGTAAATAATGGTACCTTACAAACATGTAACCACTGTACTTTAACCAGTACTTTTTCCACATTAAAAACTTCTCATTTTTGGAGTGTATGGCAATGCAAAGGAAAATTATAGTGGACAAGCTCCACCAACTTTTTTTTGTGCAACTTTTTGGATTCACACTTTTCTTTTAGGTTTGCTATGGCCCTGAACCCTGTGCCACCCAAGATTTTACTGTTAGCCTGCCAGAGTAAAAAGAAAAGTAGTCTGCAAGGAAGCTGTTGGTAGCTAAGTCAAAATTCAGAGACAATGTTGAGAGGAAGGCCATGATCTCATTATCAAAAGATTTTTCATAGTCTGTGTTTCCTCAGCATCAGGTAAATGTATATCCTCAGATAAATAATATAGCAACAAACAGGAAACCAATTAAAATGTTTATCTTTTGAAGATAGATAAATTCATACATATATACCCTGAAATCTTGTTTCATGTTCACAGGTCTGTAAAGAGGATGTGTTCAGAAAGATAAGAGGATTTTGAAGCCAAACAGACATGGGGGGGTGGGGGGGGAGAGAGAAACCTCTCCAAAGATATTTTGCAATAGATTGAAATATATTGACATTATTTCATCAGTATTCAAACCTTACAG